TTCTGTGGTGCATGCTGGTGCATACTTTATCCATTATATTAAATATTGACCATTTGGGGATACGAACTTAAACTTAAACCTCTTCTAAAAAACCTAAGATGGACCGATGTTAAGGTATATATAGAAATTTTACTACTAAAATATATATGCCGTTCTCTGTGCAGAAATTAGTTTCAGAATATACACATGGAAATATAAAATGCACCAAACCTACTCAGAACACTTCGTTTCGACGGGAGACGCCAAGAAAAATTGCGAGTGCAGGCAGGATGGTGTCTTCACGCATAAAAGCGCGCATGAAATCAAGTGTGCGAAATTGCGTCACGTGCCTGTATTAACTCATGCCTGTTCTGTGTGGTCAGAATTCACGACAAATAAGCTGACTCGTTCGACGATGAGGATTGGTTACATGTTGAGGCGTGATGCAGCGCGTGTGACGGCCATCGCTTTAGCATTTTCTGCTTCTACACCTCACGATATTCTGTCCTTGACCCCATTTTGAGATATACAACTATTCTCCTTATTTGGATAAGAAAGAAGATTTATCGAGCAACGGATCAATTTTTTTTATTGTGCTGAGCTTTCGAACTCAGACATGAAGTAGCAACCAAATGGTGGTGATAGGCCAATCGACTGTCAGTGGTCATTAGGACGTCAAGAAGTAAGAAACGTCAACCAAAAATGACAAGGGTAGGGGCAATTATAGTGATTTACGCTAATTAACTCTCAGTGAAGTCAGCAGCGGTTCGGGATCATAAACAGTAATAAGTGTAATGCCTTGTCCCAACGGTAGATGGTCCCGATGGTCCTGTCTCCTCTTTTAACCGGTTTACCGTGGCGTCCTCTCCGTTTGCGATCCTTACGTTCGGTTTGGCTTACGTTGGCTTTGGTTCACATAATGGCGGAAGACTTTGTAGGCCGCGGGCAAGTCTAGACACCTGTTGTCGGGGTTGGCATATTTTTCCCATGCTTCAAGCGTCAGCCTGTCGGCTTTCGAGTTTACGAGACCTACGATAGTCGCTCCTTGAATACCAAAGTCGTCGCCAGTCTCTCAAATGTGTGTTGCAAGCTGTGAATTTGTGTATACTGCGAGTAGACGTGAATATGCGAGTTCCAGGAAGCAGTTCATAAGAAGAAGATGCAACCATTGGAACAAGAGTTTTATTTTACGGACGTTTTAGATTCTGTCGAGAATCCTTAAACATTGGTATCTGTAGGATAGTCTGAGACATGCGCAGATAAGGGTGATGCACACAGTGATTGCACGGTATGTATAGTTTATTGCGGTCATCTGCAAGCGTAGCCATCGGTTAAGGTCTTTATTGGTTCGGTGGTGACTTAACATTTCGTGTTTGAATCATTTATTGCCGCGGATGCATTGTCCGTATTGGATGCGGGCTTGATGGTTGCTTGAAATTATGTTCGCTTTCGTCAGCTTTGTTGTTGGGCTCGGCCCTTCCCACATGGCTGATTCCCTTGCCCAGACAATTTCGCAGTACACCATAGGGAAACACCAAATCTTCTTGCTTGTCGATTGATTTGGG